GGTCGAGAATAACACACTCAAAAACCTCAAACTTACAATCTTAAAACTCCTTTGCGAGAGTTTCAATCTTGCATTACCACCTGGGGTTGTTCAGAGAAAAATAAAAAAAACTTACATCGCTCTGCTCGAAGACCTTGTTAGATGCTGCTCTTGCAGTGCAGTTTAAAAGGCAAATGGCAAAAGGCTGCTTCAAAAATTGAGTTTTCTATGAACGTTGATATAGAACGGGGGCCATGTAGCATATCTTGGATCGGAGGAGCTATTGTAGTTCCCGCATAGTGTGAGCTCATTGGCACCAACTTATATATGAGGGTCCTGGGGCCTTCCCTGGCAAATTTTAAAATCTAGAGCTTCTGAAATCACCCGAAACACGTTTTAATCCTAAGAAAAATTTGTCAATTTTTTTACCACAAAGATTAAAATAAATAATAATGATAATAATAAATTGTTCTTGGTGGGGCTACAGCCCATTCAACCCCATAGCTCCGCGGTCCCCGTATTAAAGGCGCAAACCGGAAACGAAAAAGTCCCCTTCGAACCGCACTTGGCAGTCAGCCTGGAGTCAGATAGGATCAGGCCGGCTAGATATTGTTTGATATAGACTCATAAAAGGATTTACACAAGTAATGCAAAACGAGATATATAGGACTGGATGCTTTAGAATGGAGTTTTTACGAAAAAGGATCGTGTCCGCTTTACTCGGCATTTTCACCTTTGATCCAACGTGACAACTGTCACGCAATTGAAACATTTTGCTTTTCGTCAAGACAGTTACGAGAAATGAAACAAAAAACTCATTGGCTTAAAGACGAATTAAACGCTATTAAATACTGGTCATTATTCTTGTAATTTTTATGTTGTAGCCGTCAAAAGAGCCCTTCCTACACCAGAACCGTTAGGCGGTACGATTTCTACAACTGATTTGCATCATGCAAATTCGTGACCTCTGGCCACAGTGCGTCGCAAACCTTTATGTTTTGCCGTCACGTTTCTGAATTACCCAGATTTTTTATTTCTTATTATTTTAGAACAAAGACCAAACTTTGTGCCAGTATGTAGTTTGACATGATGTCACACATACCAAGACGCGTTTTGAAGGCTTGAAGTTGCTCGATTTTTCGCTTTTCATCGGCAGAAATATTGGACAAGATGGCGGCCGCGCTTGTGCATTTCGTCCATAATGGCGACCAAATAATATAAGAAACTGTATGGAAATTTGTAAAATTTCTAAAATATAACAATCAGGAGCTCATGGTCCCGTCTGCTCTCGATCGAGACATATTCAGTACTGCTATTCATCAAACCTCACAGGGACTCGATAAATAAAAACCACTTACTTCCCGAGCCAGTTCTTTTGTCATTGATCATTGACCTAGGTCGCCATACAGTTCTTCAAAATCCGTCGTTCTCCATCCCAAAGACTCGCCAATTACAGGAAAGTGCATAAATAAAGTCAACTGCTCTCGATCGAATTGACTGCTACAGAGTTCGAAGCGTCCTTATATCCTGTAAAATTGCCATTTCCTCCCATCAAAAAACTTCCCAACGCACCAGAATATCCCTTATTTTCCATGTTGAGTAAGTGACGAGACGCCATGTTGAAAACTGTGACTGAAATAGTTAAACACGAGCAACGCTGATCTTCGAATCGCCGGCTATATTTGTTTATGCTCTTGCAGGGAAATAAATTAGTTCTCAGGTCCTTTTCGGAATAAAAATATGCCAGGCATTGAATGCAAATTCAGTAGTCTTAGCGCGAAAATTAAATTAAAGCAAATCAAAATTCTGACATCATGTCAAAGATTTACTTGCAGGTCTTCTTTTCTTTTTCTTTTCATCAAATAGAAGATCTGCAGTGCTCAAATTCTATAAGTCATGGTTCGAAACACTCTTATTTGCAGATCGAGCCGTGATCGCCGCCGTATTGAATTCTCGTGATATTCTATTGTTGCGGAGTGTAATACGATATACCGCTGATAATTGTTAGCGGGCTCGAAATGTCCTTGATTTCTGACGATGTTGCAACAAGTGTTTGACAGCACTTTGTCAAAATTAAACCAAAGCTCCTTAAAATGCGACAAATAAAAATCAAATGAATTATATTTTGAAATAAAAAAACACCCCCTATTTCTTACGAATCATCCTCCTTCACTACTAGCACACTAAAGTTGGTCAATTTTACTGTATTTTTTGCATAATTAATAAGGTAAAAAACCAAATTTTCGTTTTTCCCCATTTTCTCGGACACATTTGAATTTTCAAACTTTGAAATAATTTTTTTGAACATATCTCCCTAAAAGGGTTTTCCAGGCAAATTATCAGAACTTTCGATTTTTTTAGCCTGGCCAGCGATTCTCGATATTTACAGTCACGGCCTCTTCAAAACGTTTCCGTTTCATCTGAATAACAAAATAAACATGGCAATTGTCGGGAAAGTCCCGACTTTCTTTCATTGTTTTTGTCTTTTCACTTTCAAAAGCATGCGCTACGAAGTCAACAACTTGGTAAGTACGAGTAGAAATGTTTAATACGGGGGTACACAGCTTTCTATATCTACAAATAAATTTGTAACAGAAGACTTTTATTTTAAGTAACTTTGCATGAGTAACGTTTTAATGGAAAAGCCTCAAATAAATGCTATTTTGTCAATGTGTATGTCCTGTGCCTATCCAGTCATGTGATGTTATGCAAAATCGCAACCATGAATAACACACGTGTTAGGATATCCAAACACGTGTGTTTGGAAAACATTAACAGCCCTCTTATCTTTGTACTGAGTACTTTTACGCTTTGAACGTTCGAGCAAAGAAACTTCCTCTTTGCAACTTTTCGGCGGTCGAAACCACTAAAAGTACTCAGTACAAAAATAAGTGGGCTGTTGATGTTTTTCAAACACATGTGTAATTGTCGGGAAAGTCCCGACTTTCCTTCATTGTTTTTGTCTTTTCACTTTCAAAAGCATCCGCCACGAGGTCATCACCTCGGTAAGTACGAGTAGAAATGTTCAATACAGGGGTATACAGCTTTCTATACCTACAAAAAAATTAGTCACAGAAAAAGCCACGAAGTCTACATCTTGGTGAGTACGATTAATAATCTTTCATATCACACAGCTTTCCATCGCTCAAATGACTGAGTAACTCAAGAGAAATAATGCTTTTTTGGGAAGACCCAAGCTATTTCGATCTTTATGTTTGCGCTCTGTAGTTACTTATCATTCGAATAACACGCGGCGAAAGAATCGCCAATGTAGTGATATACATTTAGAGCACCTTTTTCAAACCTTTGTGGCATTATATCCTCGTTCTTCATTCCTGCACTATGTAGTTATGTCACGTTACGAAAGAAATTCGTTCCAAAACGACTTTTATACCTTTGTGGCCTTTCACCCTCAACTCTATCCTCATCAGTTAAGATTTAAAACCATCGCTCAATTTGAGGAAATGACGATCCAAAAAATAATATCAGACCTATCTAAATTATGACTGTCTATCCATGATATCATAAGATATTCGTTGTGATTCATTACGTGGTTTTTCAGTAGGAAGTAACCGTCAGGTTTCCCCAGATTTATATTGGTTCGACTGCGTTGTTATGGTGTACCATGAATCGGCGTAAAATTCGTTGAAAGTTTGAAGATATTGTTCGTGCTATTCGTGTTATGCCTGACTAAGGTAATATGTAACAATTAATCGCCGAAGGTGAGGGAATTTTGCTTAATAATCCTGGAGACGAAGTCAAGGGGATTATTGTCCTATATGCGTGTATGAATTAAGCGTGGGGTAAATATTTGTTTAAGCAGAATTGCATGCTTAGCCGCGGGTGCTTTCAATTTCTTTGTGAATTCGTTTTGATTTGGAACTATTCTGTCCCAATTGTTTTGTTGAATCTTATCGAGATATTTAGCCAATCTCCCCTTGAATTGAACAAGTTTGTTTATTTCATTCAATCAGCAAAAACTTCATATTCCTCTTTTAAACAGTGATACGCCAAACTTAATGGCATCTTTTGCATTCTTCGGAATTGCATTTCCTTCGCTGCCCTGAGTGAAAAAGAGGGAGCCCAATACCTATCGGAGACTCACAGGATTCGTGTCATTCCTTCTTTGACGACACTCAGGATCATTCAAAGTTGATTGGCTGCTGCCATTGCCATGTGCAAGAAAGGAAGCGGATGTGGTCGGACGACTGGTAGGTGTTCCGCCTCTTGTAGACGAGAAAGCAACGAAGCAGGTGGTACTTGAGCGGATAAGTTCAGTGAGCCTGATAAATATTGCTGCCTATGGTAACGCCGAAAGGGGAGAAATTGCCCTTTCCCCATTCCTACTCCCAACAGTCGAAACACCATCCCACCACAGGAAGCTTACATGTTGACAATGGCCGATGTCTCACAAGTGAGAGTGAGAGCCAAACTGGTGGTACTTAGCTGCTGTCACAGTGGAAGTGGAGACATAAGAGCCGAGGGAGTTATAGGAATTGCCCGCACGTTCTTAGGATCCGGAGCTCGCTAATTAAAAAAAGAGCTATCCCAAATTAGGGAAGATCTAGTTCAATTTTTTGTGCTTTCTTTTCCAATATTCTCAGAAAGATGCATTGGTTACATACTCAAGAATTTATTTTTTGTTTTTTTTTTACATAAAAATGATATTTCTGATATAATAAGCGCAACACAATGTTCACGCACGTAAGGCTGTTAAGTAAAGGGAAATCAGTAAAGTTAAAACGGTATTCGATTCATCAACATTCATCCCCATGCTCAGTTGTAATAAGGTATGGGAAAAATGACTGATCAGCGGGCTAAGCCAAGCTGGGACAAAAGTGTTCAAGATACACCCGTTCCTCACGTTGTAACCCAGTAACTACTGGACTTGTAATGACGTTGTAACCAGTCAATTAATGCATTGTAATCGGGATAGACCTATTGACAAATCTAGACCTGGGGGAGGGGTGAATGAGTAACTAAATTGCCCATAAGAGACGCCATATTAGATTTTGATGGGAATGTTTTTTGGGCCGGGTAAGAGGAAAGGATTTTCCTCCTTTAAAGTGGTAGACAGATCAAATAAAACCCGGAAATCCACCGTCCAACTTCCTTCTACTCTGCCTCTGGAAAAAGAGCAACATCGTAGTGTGGAAGATGTGGAACAAGGTGAAGAAGAGGAAGATCCGTGCGCTTTGTGTGATGGTGACCCGCCAGATTCCGACGATGATGTGGTGCCCACTTCCTCCACCAGCTCCTACAAAATGCGCAAGGAAAGGCTCCACAAAAACTGGGAATCCTTGCGATCCACATTGCTGAAGTTCTCTGTTGAAATGGAAGGTTTCGTGCCCCATCAATGTAATTGTGGTAAAACGGTGGAAAGTCGATGCAGGGATTGTAGCTTTACGGCATACTTCTGCCTTGATTGCTGTAATCACCTGCATCAGACCAAACATCATTTTCATCACCCAGAAATAATACAGGTATGCATGACCTTTATAATTATCAATTTTATTTTTTGCCCAGAAGAGTAACCCGGGTTTAAGAAATTTATTAAGCTTGTCTTTTTTTTATACTGAATTTTTCAGGACGGTGTTTGGAAATTGCACACTGTTCCTGACAGGACATTGAGTAATCCCTATCATTCTTGCTCATTTTCCTACACAAGGGAAATAACGGTTATAGATGAAAGAGGTAAAGCTATCCCTAAAGACCAAACCATGATTGTTGCTCATGTTAATGTAGTCCTGGTATTCACTTTTTGCAGTTATTTAATATATTGTAAACATTTATATTGTTTTGGTGAGCTTAATTCTAAGGTTATTAAAATATCGGTATAAAGTCAGCAATGTTCTTCCTTGTTGAATATTTTTTTCTGAAGGTGGTCAGCATCTATTGAAGATTCTCTGTTGCACTTGTTTTAGTGTGGCAGAGAGTTTTCTGTTTCAAGGTTTGTGGCCTGCTACACCAGTGGAACCAACCTTGGCATTCACCACAAGTCTGATGGAATTTACCCTGGCACTTGTGATGGAATGCCAAGTTTCCATTTTTGATCTTGTGAAGGCCTTAGACTTCTACTCCCACCCTCTCATAAAGGTTCGTTATAGGTTAGCTGTAAACGACTCCATCGTGTGATAGTTATCAGGGTCGGCCAGGGTTTTTGGGTATATGGTATTAAGGGGCTTTTTTAATTCGGGTATACGGTATATTTCAGCTGAAAGATGGGTATACTACTAATTTCGGGTATATAGTAGACTATATAACGCTTTGATTAATTTTAGGTATATTGGGAGAAATCTTGGGTGTTTTGGGGTATTTTGGCGGATCTTTTTCGGGTATACTGGTATACCACTACCCCCCGCTGGCCGACCCTGAATTATTGAGGGCAAAACCAAATAAACCATCACACAAATAATATAGAAATCATGAGATCATAATATATTATTGCTTTAGTATAAATCTTCATGACCTAGCCAAAACTTTATCATGATCTCCTTCATAGATACTGAAACTAAACAAATGAAAATACAGTTGAAGCTCTCATACATGTACACCCTCGGGACACGTTAAAAGTGTCTCTAACTGGAGCTGGCCACCTTACAAGAACTGTTCTCATAAGCGGCCACCACCAGAGGTGTAGCCTAGATGTCCGCTTATGAGAACTTTCCCAGCTAACAAATATTTGGAAGACAAAAAATACCACCAAATGAAATATTGCAAACTACACAATGTTATGATAATGGTGAGTGTACAGTACTGTATACTGCAGAACAGAATCCAGCTCCTTCTGCAAGTTCTAAACTTCCAGACTCAAACTGATTACTACTCACTATCTATCACAGAATAGATAGTGGGTAGGGCAGCCAATCAGAGAATAGCATTCGTGATAGATTTACAATAGAACAGATGTAGCAAATTGTTATATTTGTTATTTATTGTTTTAATTGCAGAAAAGGAAGATATATGCCCAATTTATTGACAGCTTTGAGGAATTCAGGTGGCTTAACAATTAATGTTTGTGAATTTAGAACTTCCAGCAAACAGTTATCTTGCAACATCCCAGTTTTATGTGTATAAGACCTTTAGAAGTGTTTTAATGAGTAACTTAGATTGTAGTTAAATGTTTTGGATCAACTTTATCCTTAGTTTAAATTTTATTATCCTTTGTTTCTATGTATGGTAATTTATGGTGATATATGCAGATAACCAGTTTAAAACAAAGAGAACTGAATGAAGTGTTATAAATTTGACACAAAGCATCAACTGATACCTCGGTAGATGGTAATGAAGACCATAGAAATTTGGTCAAGTTAAAAGTTAGAAATACCTTGTGATCAACACAGTTTAGGTTGTAAAACCATGCAAAGTCTCTTGAGGTGAGCTCCTGTATTCAGTGCATTTGGTGACACCCGGTGTTCTTCAATTTTTTTTTTTAGAATCCAATTCCTTCTGCAAGTTCTAAACTTCCAGACTCAAACTGATTTGCAGAGTTTTTATTTAAGTGGTTATGTTAAAAAATTATTATTTAATACAAAGATAATTCTTGTTACTTTGTTTTGTGAAAAGGAATAAAAACAACCAATATCCCTTTTGATTGAGTTTTACATATAATTAAAAGTATTTTCCAGAAAATATAAGACTACAAGTGAAAGAAGAAATTACTCAAATATCTGATTTAATTCTTAGGCCACGATAGTGCAACAAATAATTATCTATTGTCATTAATGCTGGTTCAAAAAATACCATATGGTTTGGTAATTTGAACTCGATAGATGCTTTTATTAGTTTAAAATGCTTATTAGTGTAAACACTGTGCACATTAAAGGTATGTCTCTTTACAACAGGTATCATGTAAAGGCTCTCCAGTGTTTTACTGAAAATGAGGTTTGCCCACTCAGGCGTCCAGTTTGTCCTGCTTGTCCCAAGGTAAAACTTTGAAAACCTCTGCTGCCATTTTCAAAGAACTAAATTCAGATTAATTAAAGTAGTTTTCAATATAGAGATTAAATGTTATGTTGTGGTGCATTTTTAGTTCTCAGCACCTCAGACGCAGCCTGACACTTCCACTGGTGCCAGTGAAGGTGTGTTTTATTCATGTGTATGGCTAAAACTCTCACACACCCACACACACACACACTCACACACAAAATATAGTTCATCGGTGATAGACAGAACTACAACACAATAACGATTTGATTTTAAAAAACGCCGTACTTATCACTGCTCGTGTGTTCCTGTGTGTTTGTTTTTAATTATATATTTATATTTTTGAACTTGATTTTTCCGTCTTTTAATCTGACTGGACAATCATAGTGACACCAATAGGAAACTGCTGTCTTTTAGTCACTATACTTAGCATTTTATTTGAGCAATTCAGTCAATTCAATTTATACTTCTTTGTCTGGTTTAGGTAATGAAGTTGAGCTGTTTGACAACTCCAACAAACTCGTTTGTCGGGGTGTTGTAACTGCTCAAGCCATGGTACACGGCCGGGCACTGAAAACCGGATGGGCCGCAGTGATGATACAGGATATCTTGTCAAAGGGAAAAGTGGAGCCATGGCAAGAATATCCCACCCATTCTGGGGAAGTAGAAGAAGGGAGTTTTGTCGCCTGGCCGACTGCTTACATCCAACCGCGACGAGAAGCTCTGCAAACTGCCCGGCCGAAACAAAACCTTTCGGAGACGCAGGGTTTAAAGGATGCCCTTCATCCCGACAAGTTTGTCTCTCCCGGGACAATAATGTCCAGGGAGAGACAGCTACGAAGTAGAAAGTGAAAACATTATGATTCCACTATTGCGCCATTTTACCATATTTGGACATGAGAACGCGCAAATCATGAGCCTGTAATGCCCCGGTTTGACTGTTTTAGAACAGAGCAAATACGGACGGAAAGCGTAGAGCAACAAAATGGTTGGACAAAAGGGAGCAAAATTGACTTGTTTACGTCCTTTACGCTTGACTTTTAAGCGACGACCTTTCGACGGGAACGCATTTTTTTAACTCAACAGAAGGAAACTTGCGAGGACATTTAATTCTTTTTGTTTGTGTTGTTTTCGTCATTCGCGCACGCTTCATAAGATCGATAAGATTCTCAGGCGATGGAGGTTGTATTTCAAAAACTAGGTGCCAAAATGCTAGAAAATGGCGCAATAATGAAATAATAAATCCCTTATTGGATGGTTTAACATGTAATACGTCCGGACATTTAGCTCGTTTTGCTACGCAACTCGCAAAATACCCGCGCGTATTATATGTTAAACCATCCAATAAGGTGTATGTAACGGTTCACTGTAAAGTTAAGCAACCACACAGAGGACTTCTGGAAATTTCATTGAGACTCTTGAAACTATTTACATTCATAGAATGGTGCTGACAAAGACATAAAGCTTTATTTGAGGTTATTCGTGTTGTTTCTTTGTACAGTTTAGCAGATTGCAAAACACATGTGCAGGTCTTTGCCCTGCAGTGTTCTTCCTCCCCTTCTCTTAAGCGATGTTCTCGTTGCCAACGCTGTTGTGGTTGCGTAAATTCCCTATTGTAAAGAAAAAATGCAGTTTGCATGGAATGAGATAACCAAAGTTGGAATTCATAAGTCTGTTTATCGTTTCCTTTTCTCATGATTCTGTGTTCTCTTAGTCGATACTAATCTGTTACATCTTGCTGACTTATATTCTATTTTAAATACAAAATCATGATTAGGATAGGAACGAAGGATCCTCCACTGTCACTTGCTACTACACACTCTAATAAATCACTGTACATATCAATAAATAGGATAGCCGAGATATATTACAATGAACTTATTGATGCGTTTTAGTGTATGATGTACATAAGACAATGTATGTTCCAATGCTACGTCTTCAGAAGATACTTAACAGTACGACCAGTGTTTTCGACTCTCCCCTGGATGCTAGTCCATTTCAGGGTCACCCCCTCCCCCAGCAGTTAATACACCGGTTCCCATGTATCATCACCCGACTGAAGAGAGGCATAGTAAAGGTTAAGTGTCTTGCCCAAGAACATAACGCAGTGCCCTTACAAGAGCTATTTTTTGGGCCCAGTGCATACTAACCCGGCATAAGGTATATTTTTTGGTCCAGCGCATACCGTGACAATTTGTCCACCACGCCCCCATGCGTCTCTATACAATAGTGACAGGGTTCGCACTCACCTTGAAAGTCCTTGAAAATCCTTGAATGTCAAAATAAAAATTCACGGCCTTAAAAGTCCTTGAAAATTGCAGACAGTGCAGGAAAGCCCTTGAATTCACTAAATTCACCCCATTTTTCAGTCTGTTTTTGTGTCTACCCCATTTTTCAGCCTCTTTTTGAAATAGAGTAAAATCGGGGCGAAGAGTTGATATGTCGGGTATACGATATAGCGCTTAGTGTGTTAAATTCACAAAATTCACCCCATTTTTTAGTTTCTTTTTGAAATACAGTAAAATCGGGGTGAATAGTTGGTTAGCCAGGTATAGGACATAGCGCTTAGTATGTTAAATTCACAAAATCCACCCCATTTTTTAGTTTCTTTTTGAAATACAGTAAAATCGAGGTGAATAGTTGGTTAGCCAGGTATAGAACATAGCGCTTAGTATGTTAAATTTACAAAATTCACCCCATTTTTTAGTTTCTTTTTGAAATAAAGTAAAATCGGGGTGAAGAGTTGGTATGCCGGGTATAGTACATAGCGCTTAGTATGTTAAATTTACAAAATTCACCCCATTTTTTAGTTTCCCTTTGAAATACAGTAAAACCGGGGTGAAGAGTTGATATGCCGGGTATAGGATATAGCGCTTAGTATGTTAAATTTACAAAATTCACCCCATTTTTTAGTTTCCCTTTGAAATACAGTAAAATCGGGGTGAAGAGCTGGTATGCCGGGTATAGGACAAAGCGCTTAGTATGTTAAATTTACAAAATTCACCCCATTTTTTAGTTTCTTTTTGAAATACAGTAAAATCGGGGTGAAGAGTTGATATGCCGGGTATAGGACATAGCGCTTAGTATGTTAAATTTACAAAATTCACCCCATTTTTTGGTTTCTTTTTGAAATACAGTAAAATCGGGGTGAAGAGTTGATATGCCGGGTATAGGACATAGCGCTTAGTATGTTAAATTTACAAAATTCACCCCATTTTTTAGTTTCTTTCTGAAATACAGTAAAATCGGGGTGAAGAGCTGGTATGCCGGGTATAGGGCATAGCGCTTAGTATGTTTAATTCACAAAATTCACCCCATTTTTTCGTTTCTTTTTGAAATACAGTAAAATCAAGGTGAATAGTTTGTTAGCCAGGTATAGGACATAGCGCTTAGTATGTTAAATTCACAAAATTCACCCCATTTTTTAGTTTCTCTTTGAAATACAGTAAAATCGGGGTGAAGAGTTGATATTCCGGGTATAGGACATAGCGCTTAGTATGTTAAATTCACAAAATTCACCCCATTTTTTAGTTTCTCTTTGAAATACAGTAAAATCGGGATGAAGAGTTGATATGCCGGGTATAGGACAAAGCGCTTAATATGTTAAATTTACAAAATTCACCCCATTTTTTAGTTTCTCTTTGAAATACAGTAAAATCGGGGTGAAGAGTTGATATTCCGGGTATAGGACATAGCGCTTAGTATGTTAAATTCACAAAATTCACCCCATTTTTTAGTTTCTCCTTTGAAATACAGTAAAAGCGGGGTGAAGAGTTGATATTCCGGGTATAGGATATAGCGCTTAGTATGTTAAATTCACAAAATTCACCCCATTTTTTAGTTTCTCTTTGAAATACGGTAAAATCGGGGTGAAGAGTTGATATGCCGGGTATAGGACAAAGCGCTTAATATGTTAAATTTACAAAATTCACCCCATTTCTTAGTTTCCCTTTCAAATACAGTAAAATCGGGGTGAAGAGTTGATATGCCGGGTATAGGACAAAGCGCTTAATATGTTAAATTTACAAAATTCACCCCATTTTTTAGTTTCCC